TGGACGGATCAAATGAGCTCTTTCTTGAGAAGGGGGGCATGATGGGGAGGGGCTGGGTCACTTTGCGCCCCCACTGGAATTTCTTTGTGCCCCCCAGTTTGGGAACCCATGCTCTAGAGGAAGCAGGTGTTTAACCTCTCTAGCGAAATCCCAGCTCTGGGCCACCGGCGCTGGGTGGGCAGGGGCTCTGCGGTATCTGTGCATCGCCACGTGCACTCTTCAGTACCCACAGGTGCCTCCTGCCTGCTCCTACGATGCCCATGTGCTAACCCAGATGCCTTGCTGCCTCGCCCGCGCTGCCGCTTGGTTAGGAGTGGCTCTGCCAAGGGCAGCGCTGGAGGCAGGAGATAAAACTGGGATTTGCAAATGCCTTCCAAGGGGAGCTTGGTTCCTGGCTCCCTGGGGTCCCTTTCAAATCCCAAGCTGAGCCAGGGAGAGAAATGACCCCCATGGGGCCTCGCCTTCTGTTGCTTGGGCCGGGGTCCCTCCTTGCTGGGGCCCCAGCGGTAACGGTACAATGCCAGGGCCATGCTTGCAGACTTCTCCGCATTCCAGCAGGAAGCCAGGGCAGCACAGCCTGGCCCTGAAGGGGTTAACACCAGCTGGGTGCCCCCTTCTCCCACTGGGATGAGAGCTGCCCCTGTGGCTTCAGCTTCCCCACCCCTTGGCTAAGGCTGGCTCAGCCTGCTCCCAGGAGCTCATTGGGTTCCTGCTGCCGCTGGGCAAAGGGCCGGCTGGACAGGAGCCACTCGCCAGCCAGGGCCCGGAGGCTGCAGAAACCAGCCTGGATGCTAAGTGCCTGGGGTTCAGCAAGAGGGAGACAGCTGTGGAGCAGGGGGTCTACAAGCTGGGTAGCAGGCCAGGAGCTACACGGTTGGAGACACCTCCCCGCTCCCCCAACAGCCTCTGTCTGGATCTATTAATGCTATTTCCGTGACTCCTCCTCCTCCTCCGCCTAGGGCTGGTGCATGGGTCTGATTTCACTGCTCCAGTTTCTTCCCCTCCGGCTTGGGGTGGATGGAGAACCGGGGCCCCCCTGCACCCCACAGAATCACCTGGCTCCTGTCGTCTGGCCGAACCACCGAGGCCTGGCAGCCGAGCGTTCAGCATTTCGCTCAGCTTGCGAAGGCAGGTCTGGGACACCCAAGCTCCCTGTGCGGCGGATCCTAAGCCTGATTTCAGTGCCACTCTCTGGAAAGCCTGCACTGAGATCCGGCTGTCCGACTCCATCTACCAGGAGGCACAGGCCGGGCACAGGGCAGGCCCCAGCATCACAACTCCCCGCTCTCCCCTTCGGCTGGGCCGCCGGCGCCAGCTGTGAGCACTCACCCATCGCCCGCCGGCGCCAGCGGCGAGCACTCACCCATCGGCGGCGTCGCCAGTGTCTGCCGGCCAACTATCTGCGCCGGCCCCAGCCCGTCTAGAAAGTCGCTGAACTGGCTCTCGGCTCCCAGGCGGGTCATGGGGAAAATGAATCTGAGAAAAGGGGGAGGAGGGACTGTATGAGTGAGACATGCCACTGGGAAGCACTGGATTTCCCTGCTGGTGATTCTTTGCACGGGGATAGTGCGCCTTGCACGAGGATCTCAAAGCACTGAGTGAACACGAATTACCCAAACCTCTCGTGCCATTTCCTGATGGGCGTCAGCTGGGGAACGGACCTTCCCAGGGCAATGGTGGGACACCCACGCAGGTGAACAGAGCAGCATAGATGCGTCTGCAGGGAACAGCCTGGTCCTAGAGGAGATGGCCACAAGCGGCCCCTGGCCTTCTCTGATTTCTGTGGGATCCCAGGAACTCAGCATGAGGAGGCTCCAGACTGATCTGACCCACTCTGCCCAGGGATCTGGGGTGCAGGAAAGCCAGGCAGACACCCCAAAGTGGGGTGAGGTTCTGCCTGAGAAGACCAGCTTGATGCTGGCGGGCACAGCTGAGAGAGCTGAGATCTTTGCCTCCGCGCACTTCCTTGGGGCCCGATGGCTCGGTCTGAGCCGGGGCACCAGAAGAGCTGATGGTAGCCAAGCTGTGCCCCGGGTGGAAAGGTGCATGCATGAACCAGAGAGCCTCCAGCATCCGTCCTCGCTCCAGGACAGACAGAGCGCTCCTGTGCTAGGAGAACAGCTGCTGCTCCCCTCCCCTTCTGCTCTGTACACTAAAGGGCCAGCCACCCCGCTCCCCGGGCCTTACGTGCCATCGGAGCTGTTGCTGTTGGTGCTGCCGTCGGTGGATTCCCGGCTGCCCTGCCGGGTGACCCTGTTCCTCATCTCCACGGCGATGCCGGTTTCCGTGCTCCGCCGGATGTTACTGCGCAGCTTCTTCGGGCCGCCTTCTGGAAGCAGACACCCAGATAAGCCAGGCTGGGAACTACAGAAACTCCCCTTCCCCGGACAACGCACTCTGTACCCCCCTCTTCCATCTTCAAAGGCTGCTGGCATGGGGTCATGCACCATGACCCCACCCTCGTGGGACAGGCGACCCCTGTGGGGTCACCAGGGCTGTCATGGGTAGTGGTGAAAGCAGAAGCACAGCATGAGAGAACTACCAGATTCTATCTGCAGCCCTGTCACTGACCTTGGGCAAGGCATGACGCCCCTCCGTGCCTCAGTTTCCTAGGGATGTAAAAACACTATAAAAATATTAACCGCCAAACCGATAAAAATTCTATCAGGTACATGGTTCAATGCAGGGCTCGGCTGCCAGCTCCCAGCCCTGCAGGGCTACCAGCTACTATCCTGGTCTGTAGCACAGTAGGGAGGGCTGCTCCAGCCAGGCTGGGTGTCAGTTAACCAGTTACCCACAAGCATTATCCAGTAAGGGTGCTGCTTACCAGGTAACCAATTAATCAGTTACCCATTTATATCCCGATCTTAAGTGTGAGGAGGACCACAGTGCCCCCGGGAGGTGGGGCTTCGGTTTCATTGATTGTCCAGTATTTTGAGTTCCGATGCGGAGTGGCAGCTGGCTCTTTGCTGCTGGGACTGTGGTTGACCAGCCCTTAAGCCCCCATTCCCGCTGACCATAAATACAGCCCTGCTCCTCCAGCCCCAGGGGACTGCATGGCAACATGGGAACATAAGAACATAAGAACGGCCACACAGGGTCAGACCAAAGGTCCATCTAGCCCAGTGTCCTGTCTGCCGACAGTGGCCAATGCCAGCCAGAGTGGGTGGACCGAAGACAATGATAAAGCGATTTGTCTCCTGCCGTCCTTCTCCAGCCTTTGACAAACAAAGGCCAAGGCACCATTCCTTACCCCCTGGCTAATAGCCTTTTATGGACCTAACCTCCATGAAATTATCTAGCTTCTCTTTAAACTCTATTATAGTCCCAGCCTTCACAGCCTCCTCAGGCAAGGAGTTCCACAGGTTGACTGTGCACTGTGTGAAGAACTGTCTTTTATTAGTTTTAAACCTGCTACTCATTAGTTTCATTTGGTGTCCTCTAATTCTTCTATTATGGGAACAAGTAAATAACTTTTCTTTATTCACCCTCTCCACACCACTCATGATTTTATAGACCTCTATCATATCCCCCCTCAGTTTCCTCTTTTCTAAACTGAAAAGTCCCAGTTGCTTTAACCTCTCCTCATATGGGACCCGTTCCAAACTCCTAATCATTTTAGTTGCTCTTTTCTGAACCTTTTCTAATATATGCTCATTTGTGCAGAATTCCAGGTTTCCTTGGGGCGCTGCTCCTTGGGGGACAGCAACCCGGAGCCACCACTGATCTCGCCACCTTCTGCTGCTCGCGCCACCTGCCTTCGCCCCTCCCAGCAAAAAATAACAACGGCAGAGGGGGAGGTTGTAAACCAAATGCAATTTCCCCCCGGGAAAGAAACAATGAACAAATCAACCCCACGCCTGCAGAGCCCAGTCCCCGCTCTCGCTGCTTTGCCGGAGAGCGCTCAGGAGCCATGGAGATAAGCACGGTGTAAGAACCTGAATAGAGTCAAAGACCTGAAGGCCAGGACTCAGCGGGATTAAAGCAAAGGGCTGGCTGTTTCTATGGATAACGAGAGGATCCACGGGTACTTTGGAGGGGTGGAAGCAGGTGGTTTGGAAGGGATGTGAACGTGCGGGAAGTAGGGGGGGCTGCTGCAGTACCCGCAGGTTTTGCATCCAGCTTCCCCATGCCCAGGGGCTAGCCCCACTGCCAACCACTGTCGGCTCCTGGCCTTCCAAGCGGCGCCTCTGGGGTCTTGCCAGCTTTGGAACCCCTCCCCTCCAGGGTTTCCCCATCCCCTCAGGTCGTAGAGTCAAGGCCACTGTCCCTGGAACTTTCACTGCTACTTGGGCTATGTCGACGCTCGTGGCTTCTTGGGCCAGAAATATGCAAATGAGGCTAAGCGTGGAATATCTCTGAGCCTCATTTGCATACCTAATGAGCCGCCATTTTGCAGAAGAGGTTCTTGCGCGCAAAGGAGCTGTCTACACGGCCCCTTCTTGCACAACAAAAACCCTCTTACGCAAATGAAATATCTAAAAGGGTGTAAATATCTAAAAGGGTGTCACAAGGAGGAAGGAGAAAATTTGTTCCTCTTGGTTTCTGAGGACAGGACAAGGAGTAATGGGCTTAAAGTGCAGCCGGGGAGGTTTAGATTGGACATTAGGAAAAAATTCCTAACTGTCAGGGTGGTCAAATATTGGAATAAATTGCCAAGGGAGGTGGTGGAATCTCCCTCTCTGGAGATATTTAAGAACAGGTTAGATAGACATCTGTCAGGGATGGTGTAGACGGAGCGTGGTCCTGCCTTCAGGGCGGGGGGCTGGACTCGATGACCTCTCGAGGTCCCTTCCAGTCCTATTATTCTATGATTCTATGTTTCTATGAATGCCGTTATGCCGATTACTCTGCAGGAATAAACGGCTCTGCGCAAGAGGGGACAGTGTAAACAGCTCCTTCTAGTGCAAGATCCTCTTCTGCAAAAATGGTGGTTCATTAGGTATGCAAATGAGGCTCAGCAATATTCCACGCTTAGCCTCATTTGCATATTTCTGGAGCAAGTGAGTGTAGACAGCCTTGGAGTCCTCCACAGCCGCCCTCGGCTCTGGCTGGGTTGCCAGCTCTCCCAGCTTAACGAGTGTCTCCCAACCTGTGGGGAGGGGATGTGTCAGACGACCGGATGCCATTTTCACCTTCGTGTCCATCCGATCCAGAGAGCTGGCGACTCTAGGTGTCATCGTGAACAAACGGAGGGGGGTTGCAGTTCAGCACCTCCAGCCTAAAAATAGTTCCATGCCTACTTGGCATGTGCCAACCTCTGCCCGACGGGCCTTGGGAAGCAGCTCTTCCTGAGGGCAGGTAAGCAGGGAATTATCCCTGAGAGCTCCTGTGCCTTGTGTGAGGGGGGGATGCGAGGGGGGAGCTGTAATTCTTCCCTTCGGCTCGGCTCTGATACAGTCTCAGCAAGTGCAGTGTCCAGCTCTGGCGCCTGCCCTTTGTGTACAATGTGGGCACATTGGAGAAAGCCAGGGGAGCCGACAGCCACCCCAGGCCTCTGGGCAAGGGGGGTGGTGGTTCCATGCTCCCGGAAGGGGCTAGGCTGAGGCATTGCCCTCCACCCCCTCAGTGCGGCCTGGAGTGCGCTACAAGGTGCCCCTCCCTCCTGAGGGAGCCCTAAATACCACACGGAGCACCGTGGCAGCACTCCAACGGCAATTTAATAGGCTCAAGGCTCTGGGCACCACAGCAGCGGCCGGAGCCCTGAACCCCTTTGAATCCCCAGGCCCCAGGCAAGGTTCCCTCTTTGCTGCGCAGCAGCACGGCCCTGCAGCTGCTTAACAAACCTCAGCCAGGCTCTCAGGGCTTTGCACCTTGCTAGGGGAGGGGCACTTCTCCCTCAGCAGCAGTTCCCTGTCCAGGAGGACAGAGCAGAGAGATAGGGACACGTCCCCTCCCTACAGGCAGGGAGACACTTGCTGCTCTGTCGCTGAGGGAGGAGGGCCCCTCCTCCAGCCAGGCAGCTCCGTGGGCAAATCCTGAGCCCTTGGCTGGGCGGGGCTCGTTAAGCAGCTGTAACTCGTTAAGTTACCTGCCACACAGCCTAGAGGGAGCCTTGGCCCCGGGGCAGTTGTCCCCTTTCCCTCCTCCCCCCATCGGCAGGCCTGGAGAAAGCCCAGAGAAGAGCAACAAAATGGGTTAAAGATGATGGAAACTATTTAGTGCAGAGGAGAGAAGCCGAGAGGGCACAATAGCAGTCTCCGAAGATAGATATAAAGAGGGTCATAAATTGTTCTTATCCACTGTGGACAAGAAGAGAGGGGCTTCAATTGCAGCAAGGGGGTTCAGGTTGGAGATTAAGAAAAAAACCTTCCCATCAGGGTGGTGAAACACTGGAATTAATTTCCCCGGGGGGTTGAGGAATCTGGAGGCTTTTAAGAGCAGGTTTGACAGACACCTGTCAGGAGTGGGCAAGATGATACTTAGTCCTGCCTCGGACGGGGGACCGCACTAGACGACTTCTCAAGGTCTGTTCCAGCCCAACATTTCTGTGATTCCTCTAACGCAGCTGGCACTGGGCACTCAGAGCCGCGGGGGCAGGTCTGATACAGCTTGGCACCGCCCAGGTTCCTAAACAGCAAGCAGGTGATGGCGTTCCCTCCCTCTAGCTGCTAGCTACGTGGCTGGTGGAATTCAGGGTAATGTTGGCAAGGAACGAGACCAGCTCCCTCCCACCCATCCCTTCCCCAGCAGGGCAGCTGTAGCTCTCTGCCAGTTACAGGGCGGATAATGCTCCCCTGAAATATCGCCCTCAAGCTGAGACGCGTCAGAGCTGCTGCTATCCTGCCCTTTCCCTCCTCCAAAGAGGCAAGGGAGCGGTGCGGCAGCGCTGCCCAATGGGAAGCGCGCCGCCCAGCAGCCCAGGGAGGGGTTTGCAGCAGGTGACAGGATCAGAGGACTCGAGGCAGCGAGAGCTCCGTCATGAGATTCTGATCCCCATCTCCCGGCGCGCTGCTCTGGGGCCTTTGATCAATTATTCACCAGGATTTACGCAACCCTTACTGGAAAAGCCATCCACGGCGCCTGGCGCAGGCTCGCCTCACCTCTGAGCGGAGAAACGTGCCTCTGCAAGAGTAAGCCCACGGCCAGCATGGACCCCATCTGCAATCGCCCTAGCCTCAAGGGCCCCCCCTCTATGATTCCAGCATGGACCCTCCCATCTCAGGGCAACCACTCCACCCCCACCACATCTGCCTCAGTGACACCATCATTAACTCCTCTGGCGTGCAGCACTGAGCAGACAGCCCCCCCTCAGGTGTTTCTCCTTCTAGCCACGGTCACTATTACACCCCCCCCCAGAGCAGAGGGGGTCTTTCTGAGGCTCCC